TTCAGATTAATAACTCCCTAGAAATTTCATTGAGGTGGCAGTCCCCCCCTGAATTTTTGTGGGATTTATTTCCCATCCTCTAGTTCACAGTATGTCTATAACTATCTATTCATGTTTTTTGTACATTTTTCTGTTGGGTTTCTTGATTTCTGGAGTTCTTTACAAATGAAAGAGATGAGCCCTTGGGCTGCGATATGAATTGCAAATATTGTGACAGTTTTTCATTTGTATTTCAACTTTGCTTATCATCTTTTCCACCTTACAGCATTTATTTTTATGTACTTGATGTAGTTGGTTGATCACATTTCTCTTTAATGACTTCTAGATTTTGAGTTATAATTAGAAATGCCTTCTCCACTTCCCCCAGGTGATTGTGATATAATATATAGCTAAGGCTTAGAAGCACTAGATTAGGAGAAGCAATTATAAACTCAAGGAGAGGACTAGAATTGCCACTGTGGAATGTCTTCTGGTGGTAAAGCATGACATGATGAAGTTGGTCATGGTGAATCCATAATGAATTTTAAGTCAGTGTGATTCATACCTGCTGCTGTAGGTTGGTGGCAGCAGTGAAGAAAGCAACTAGTGTGGATTATTCAAGGCTAGAAATTTCTGTAACAGGCTGAATATAATGAATGAAGTCACTTATTTATTCATCTACTCATTCAACAAATGCCAGAGTCCTGCCATTAACTGACCAACAGTGTTGTCCAGTGGTGTGTCGGTAAATGTTTAACAATTAGCTGCTGGTGGGGTTTCACAGTCAGCTCTATAGTGTTTGTTGATTTCTAATTTCCATAGTGTGACTATTCCCATCACAGTCTATTTCAAGCCACCAATGTGATGTCACTGAGTGTGAAGTTGGGAAGAGATATGCACAATCAGCTTTAATCAGCTGGTACCAGCCAGCTGTAACACATCACTGGTTGTTGTATCAGTCTTCAAACTCTTCAACATTTGTACAGTATCTAATATTGTTAACCATCCCTTTCTCATGAAATTCCTACATCATTGACTTCAGTGATATTTTCCTGTCTTTGGATTCCTTTACTTCTATTCACTAAGCTTCCTTAATATAAAATTTTCTTTCCTTCTCATGCACTTGTCTTTATCTTCTCTTTCTTTGTTTGCAATCTGATCTCTTCTCATAGCTTTAACTATCACTTCTATGCTAAAAACTTGCAAATATCCATGTCCATCCCCAAACTTTCCTCTGAGCCTCCAGACTTTCAATTCCAACCTCCTGTTGGGCAGCTCTGCTAGAATGTCCTATAAATAATGCAAACTCAGCATGTTCAAAGCCACCATCTTGTCTACAAATCTCCTCCCAACTTTCCTACTTCTGTTTCTCCTAATGTCCCAGGATGAAAATCTTAAAATGATATTTGATTCTTTTTCTACTCCATTGTCCCATATCCAGTTGGAAGTCCTTTTTTTTTTTTTTTTCCTTTTGATTTTCCTTTGACATTTCTCAAATCTGTTCTCTTTTATTCCTGTGGTTATCACCAAAGCTCATACCATTCCAGTAGCTTCTTTTTTTATTGTGGGCAATATACATAACATAAATTTGCCACTTTAAAGTGCAGAATTCAGTGGCATTTAGTGTGTTCACAGTGTTTTACAACCATCGCTACTATAATAATTCTAGAATATTTTCATTGCTCCAAAAGGAAACCTCGTATCTAATGAGCAATCACTTCCCATTCTTCCCCTAGCAACCATTAATCTACTTTATGTTTCTATGAATGTGCCTTGTCTGTATATTTCATATAAATGAACTCATAACATGTAGTCTTTTGTGTCTGGGTTCTTTCACTTAGTATAATATTTTCAAGGTTTATCCATGTTATAAGAATGTATCAGCACTTCATTCCTTTTTATGGCTAAATAGTATTCCATCGTATTCATATACTACATTTAAAAAATTTTTTTTTCAGTTTGGACATTTGGCTTGTTTAAATCTTCTGGCTATTGTAAATAGTGCTGCTATGAACATTAATGTTCAAGATTTCATTTGTACAGTTGTTTTCAGGTCTTTTTGGATACTGTGGCTGTACCAGTTTATATTCCCAGTAGCAATATATCAGAGTTGCAGTTTCTCCACACCCTTGCCAACACTTGTTATGTTCCTTTTTTGATTATAGCTATCCTGGGGGATATAAAGTAGTATCTCATTGTGGTTTTAATTTGCATTTTCCAAATGGCTAATGATATTGAGCATCTTTTCATGTGTTTGTGGGATATTTGTATATCTTCTTTGGAGAAATGCCTATTCATTTCTTTTGCCCATTTTTTGATTAGGTGGTTTGTCTTTTTGTTGTCTTAGCCTCTTAACCCAGCTTTCCTCCACTATTTGCACCTCTCGTTTTTGATTTTTCACTCAGTTGTCAGGATGAGTTTTTGTTATGATGATCTTCTGCCCTAAACTGTCAACAGCTCTCCACTGTTCTACAGATAACCCTGGTATTTGTGACCTCCACAGTATTTTTTCAACCTCCTTTACCAGGTTTGTTTCTTACTGTTCCTACACACTTGCCTTAAGCTTGACCCACCTATTCTCTAAACATGATTTCTTTTCTACCCTAGAGTCTTAACTAATGTTCTAGCCCCCACCCAAAATGTTCTTAACACCTGTACCCATTTGTCAAAAATTTTAACCATAGGACCTTCAGTATTATTTCATCTAGACCAGGTGTCCTCAAACTAGGGCCCGCGGATCACATGTGGCCCACCGAGGACATTTATCCGGCCTGCCAGGTGTTTTTGCTGCCGCTGCCTGTCCTGCTTAGCAGCCGACTCTTCCTGGGCCCACAGTACACATGTGTGGAATGTGTGCTGGACTCTCCAATGGCCCTCCAGTGGTCTGAGGGACAGTGAACTGGCCCCCCCCACCCCGTTTAAAAAGTTTGAGGACCCCTGATCTAGAACCTCCCCACCCACTTCCCATTTCCAGATTATTCTGAAGCAATCTCAAGACATCATATTACTTTATTGTAAATATTTCAGTATCTCTAAAAGATAAGCACTATTTAAAAACAACCATAATACCATTACCACATCTAAATAATGATTATTTAATATAATCAAATATCCAATGTTCGAATGTCCCCAACTATCTTAAGGAAGTTTTGTTTTTGTGTTTATAGTTTGCTTGAATCAGTGCCCAAATAAAGTCTAAACATTGCAATTGTTTGATATGATCTTAAGTCTCTTTTAATCCATTCTATCTTTTTTTTTGCAATTTGTATGTTAAAGAAATCAAACTGTCTTCCAAGTTTCTTACAGTCTGGATTTTGCTGATTATATCCGATTATATCCCTGTGGTGTCAATGAATATGTTCTTCTATCCTCTATGTTTCCTACAAATTAATGGTTAGGAGGCTAAATCAGATCCAGGTTTGATTATTTCTTGGCAAAACTACTTCTTGGATGGTGTTATATATTTTCATTAGGAAACACATAGTCTGGTCTGTCTCTTTTTTTTTTTTTTTTTGAGACAGAGTCTTGCTTTGTTGCATGGGCTAGAGTGAGTGCTGTGCCGTCAGCCTAGCTCACAACAACCTCAAACTCCTGGCCTCAAGCAATCCTTCTGCCTCAGCCTCTCGAGTAGCTGGGACTACAGGCATGCGCCACCAAGCCCGGCTAATTTTTTTTTTCTATATATATTAGTTGGCCAATGAATTTCTTTCTATTTATAGTAGAGATGGGTCTCGCTCTTGCTCAGGCTGGTTTTGAACTCCTGACCTCGAGTAATCTGCCCACCTTGGCCTCCCAGAGTGCTAGGATTACAAGCATGAGCCACCCTGCCCAGCTTGGTCTGTCTCTTTTAAGAATCTTATCAGTCATTGATGATCATTGCTAAATCTTTAATTCATGAGAAGCTGAAAAAAGGTGATATGCTATTACTCTTTCTTCATTTGTAAGCTATACCAATATATGATGTTACTATAAGATACATAATATTATGTGTATATATACTTTTATAAAGAGAAATTTCCCTTCATCAATAATTTGGTTACCCAGAGATACAGTTCATATAGGGAGAGCAAAAGAAGTGCCTGGTTCTTTTTGTTTACCAATTTTCAAACTAACAAGTTGGTTCACTGGCATCCTGTAAGTTGACCAATGAATTTTATTTTAATATATTATGAATTCATGCATTTAAACATATTTGATGTGTTTCAAACCATTGTAGTTTTTGTCTTTATCAGTGTTTAAATTGTATCATTTTTGCCAGTGGGAACCAGTTCAACTTGGGTCTTAGATCCTTTTGAGTTGTCCTTCACAGTTGCCTTGTTTTCCAGTATGACAAAATGTTCCATGCTTGTATTGTACATTTCCTGCCTCATAGTTGAAATTGTCCGTTTCTTCTAGGATTCTTAGTTCCTTTTAGTAGGAAATGGTATGTAGAGATCACAATCTGGGCATTACTGGACTGGTCATTGTTTCCAGGCCTTTTCAGAAAACAAAGCAAGGAGATTTTATTGTTGCTTTGTAGCTTTATTTAAAATAAAGTACTTTATGAATTCATATTGATATTTCCAATTCAAGCCCAGAATTTAACTTCAATCTTCCATGTATATTGCCTTCATGAATTTTTTCTGATCATCTCAGCCCAAAGTGATCAGTCTTTGTTTAATTCCACCAACCTCTTCAATATTTTTATAGTAATCAACATATTAATTGTTGATTTACTGTTATTTTTATATATGTCTGATCCTCTCTACCAAATGATAAGCAGTTTGAGACCAGAATCTACATGTTTTTACTCTTTCTTAAATAAAAATAAAATTTCTAAAGTGCTGGTATATTGGTATATTTCCTGACACATAAATACCACTTTCTCTTTGTATTCCTCAAAATATGGAGCCATACTATATATGTACTAAAAACTAATATATGATTGTTAACTGAATAAATACAAAATTAGATTTATACTCAACTTTTCAGATATAAAGTACTAGAAACTCCAATTTTGGTGCCAATTAAAGATATTAAAATTCTTGGAAATAAATTTTATTTAACAGATATAAAACAATTTTGAACATTTACAACGTGTACAAAGACTGGTAGCTTTTATATTTAAAAAAAATACTATACTAAGAGAATAAGAAACTAAAGACCATGATATTGCAAATTACAGGTTCAAAGAATGTGAATATGATGAAGGTATTCTAATCAATGGAAAAATCCTGAAACAATTTTTGATTGAAGTACAATGAATAATACTAGATTTTAAAACAGTGTGAAATCACACTTTGGTCTGTAAACATGTTTAGCTTTTCCATTCAGATGTATACATAAAAATTATTAAAAATGTCATTTAAATGAACCATTCAAAGGTATAATAAAAAAAGAGGTAGGAAATGAAAAGTAAAGGATTTATTTTGGTAATTCTTCAATAATGATGCGAGACACTGAATTCCATCCAGTAGAAGCATCTCCTTTTGGATAATCTGAACAAGTTCCAACCCAGATAGCAACATCCACTAATCCAGCACCAATTCCTTCACAAAGTCCTTCCACTGTAAAATAAAGATGAAAGTTACATCTTTCTCTGGAACATAGAGCAAAACCTTTAGCTAAATGTTATTACTTTAGAAAGCTAGATTATAATTCTAATTTATTATTAGATTAAAAGTTCTAATACTTGATAAGGGTTTCATAATAAAGTCCTATAAATTGGTACATAAGTACTTAAAAAATATGTATACACATTCATTGATGTAAGCTTAACAGGCAGTTTTCTTACAGGTTTCAACCACAAAATCAAAATTTGTTTAGTTATAAAGATAGGTTAAAATAAAACAGTAATTTATTTGATTAAACAAAGAAAGCCTATATATACTTTTAAAAGCCAAACATTTGATTTGATATGAAAATCTTTTTTTAAAAAAGAAAGCCCTTTTCAACACTAATCTGTTGGTAAGAGATGCCATTCAAGTAGAAGAAAGGACTTTTAGAACATTAAAAGAAATTCTAACATAATCACGATACCAGTCCTTCAATCTGGGAATCCCATTTTATAAAGGATTTCTTCATAGTGAAAAGAACAAAAACAATCCTCCCTCCCCGTGCTTTTCTTCTGTGTTCCAATGCTTTATAATTATGCACCTTTTCACATGTCCTCTGGATTTTCACATACTAACATATAACTTGTGTTCCATTTTACCAAAGTCTTTTATTACATTAAAAAAAAATTCCCCAGTGGTTATTTTAACAGGCAAAAACACATGGTGTTTTATATATACATCAAAACCTTTGATGTATGTGTAAAGAGGGCAAAGGAATTGTAATTTGGCAGATTCTTTTATGAAAATGAATCCTGACATATAAGTAGTGTGTGGGTGACCTCATGTGACTGGTTGGGTTTCCTATTTGGTTGAGGTTGGTGCGTTCCAGCTGAGCCCTAGGGATGTTGATACGAAGCAATCTGCTTCCATTAGCTCTCGCATCAGTAAATCTAGGGCATGTCCCTCAGAATCCAGGGACCTGGCTCTGGTTCAGGCTCCTTCCAAAGTTGGGAGATTGTAAGCAGTCAGCCCACAATCCATTTAATCTGATATTCTTAGTATCATAACAAGTGAAAATGCCCAGAAATACTCATGTTTTCCCAAAGTGGTGACATCTATAACCTAGAAATTTGTTCATTTCACCCCACAACCTCAGGCTGTCAGACAAGCTTGGGTCTAGCATCAGTTTCATAGGAGCAGAGTCACTTCTTTGTCTTTAACAAATGAAAATAATAGCTGTTGAATGAATGAACTTTAAATTTTGCTGTGATAAATGTAGTAGAACAGCTGAAGTGCAAAAGATATGTTGGATTAGGAGTTCTCAACCTGTTTTCCTCTGAGACCCATGTAACAGATGACATTCAAAGGTTTGTCAAACTCCCATGGGCATAGCCAAGGCTTGAAGTCATCCTCTGATATGCTATTAGTGCATCCCTTTCCTTTCCTTCCAGAAAGAGTATCAGTGTGTAAGAGAAGTGATGTTAATGTAGAGGTGACCTTTAATTCACAACAATACAAAAACAACTAATAACAAATTACTTGTGACACTCCACCCAAATGATCGCACCAAATGAGTTTCCACATCATGGTTGGGAAATCCTGAGCCTAGCAAGATATTAGCACACACATTCAAGATAATATGATAGAATGTGAGTTGCTCATATCAACTACAGTCTAAACATACCACTTCCTAATCAAATTTTATATTTTATAGCTAGATTCTTCTTATTTTAGAGATGGCACTTCTTCCTTTCCAGCACATGTATCTAAGGACTGTATCTGTATCTAAGGACTTAGTTTTTGAATTTGATTAACGAGGTTTGGGGAGGCAGGAGAAAAACAGGACCTTGGCTTCTGCTCTCCTGAACGCTGATTCTACTGTTGTGGATAAAACGCTGTATTTCCGGCCGGGCGCGGTGGCTCACGCCTGTAATCCTAGCACTCTGGGAGGTTGAGGCGGGCGGATTGCTCGAGGTCAGGAGTTCGAAACCAGCCTGAGCAGAGGCGAGACCGGTCTCTACTAAAAATAGAAAGAAATTAATTGGCCAACAAAAATAATAATATATATATATAAATTAGCCAGGCATGGTGGCGCATGCCTGTAGTCCCAGCTATTCGGGGGGCTGAGGTGGGAGGATTGCTTGAGCCCAGGAGTCTGAGGTTGCTGTGAGCTAGGCTGACACCACAGCACTCATTCTAGCCTGGGCAACAAAGTGAGACTCTGTCTCAAAAAAAAAAAAACCAGGGAAATGAAGCTAGCACATGGTATATTTTCTGATTCTACCAGGCTTGTGCTGTCATGTGTGCTACCCCCACAGTAACTCAAGAAGCCAAAAGGACTGACAGCCAAATATTGATAATGATGTCTCTGGGTGAAGAGATTAGTAGATGGTTTTTTACCCTTCTACTTTTTAGTATTTTCTAAACTTTCTTTAATGAACCTTAAAATAGAACAAACTAACCAATAATATTTTTCTGACAGCATAAGTGACCACTGGTTTAATTGAATGTCTTTTCTCTCATACTAGGTAGAAACAGAGAATGCAGAAACAATACAGAAATTTGCTATTTTACAAATTCAGCAGACAGTATTTACCCTCTTAAAAGACAAGGCAGAGAAATCAGGCAGCCTCTTTATCAATCTAAGCTAGCGGTTTTCAACCTTGGCTGAACATTAGAACAACCAGGAGAACAGAAGTGGTGAAAGCGTGCATCCTTGTCTTGTTCCAGTTCTTAGAGGAAATGCTTGTGATGAAAACTAAAAATGGAACCACCATCAAATTCAGCAATCCCACTACTGGGTATCTACCCAAAGGAAAAGAAATCTATATAAAAAAAGATGCCTACATGCAAATGTTTATCACAATACTATTCGCAATAGCAAAGATATGGAATCAACCTAAGTGTCCATCAGTGATGAATGGATAAAGAAAATGTGGCATATATACAAAATGGAATACTATTTAGCTAAGAAAAAGAATGAAATCATATCTTCTGTAGCAACATCAATGAAGCTGGAGGCCATTATCTTAATGAAACAAACCAAGCACATAAAGTGAAATATTGTGTGTTCTTATACATAAGTGGATTCTAAAAAATGTGTACACACATATGGAGAGAGTGGAATGATAGTCAATGGCGAATTGGAAGAGTAAGGGGGTGTAGGGGGATGGATAATGACAAATTAGTTAATGGATACAATGCATGTCATTCAGGTAATGTATATCCTAAAAGCCCTGACTTGGCCACTATGCATATAACAAAATTGAACTTATACCCCATAAATTTATATAAATTGGAAAAAAAAAAAGAATAGTCAAGAGATATTTTTTAAGTCCCACTGCCTAGGCTGCACCCAGATCCATTAAATCTGACTCCCTGCACAGGTATTTTTAGAAGTTCCCAAATTTCTCCAAGTGAGCCCAATATGTAGCCAAGGTTGAGAACACCTGCTCTGTGGTATTACTGGCTGTTCTGCCATTTTATCCACCTCATTGATTTTCAACCCTGGGGCACATAAGAGTCATCAGAGGATCTTTTAAAAAATCCAGATGCCAGGGTCTTACCCCTAGAGATTCTGAGTCAGTTGGTCAGAGATGGGGCCCAGGTATCCATATATTTTTTAAAAGATCTATAGGTAATGGTGAAGTGCAACTCAAGGAGGAGAATCACATACTGAAAGCTTGTTAAAGGTCATTTTATATTGGGCTAGTGACCCAACATGATAGTGGGACTCAAAACTAATCTTATTTAGATATGAGGCACATTCTGCAATGTCACTATTTTACATACCAGAAGAAGTGCGATGAATATTAATTGTTGAATTCAGTTCGGGGCTTCCTTGGTCCAAATAAATTATGGCTTCAATGGGAAGAGGCCCTGAACATTCAGCTCCATTGAATGTGAAATACCAACGCTGACAGCATGCATTTCTGCATTTTAGCCGAAGTGATCCACTGAACAAAACTCTTAGAGCACTGTTGGAACGCATCTTTGTAAATGTACATTCCTGCCACAAACACGAAAATAGGGTTGAATTAACATTTTCTATTTTAATTCACAAGAGGCTTTGAAATTAGCCAGGGGTCATGGCACACACCTGTAGTCCCAGCTACTCTGGAGGCTGAGGCAGGAGGATCACCTGAGCCCAGGAGTTGGAGGCTGCAGTGAGCTATGATCACACCACTGCACATTACTCAGGGAGACAGAGCCTGAGGCTTTGAGATTGTATTGTGAATTTTACTTAACCATCATTTTCCCCAAACTGTATTGATAAAGCTTAACTTTGATAGGAGAGATTTTCTGTAAAACAGATAAGAGATTTTGATATAGGAACTGTATCAAATTATGACTTTCTTAGAATTATTTGTCTAAGGGTATCTTTCAATTTTGCCAAAAAACAAAACAAAATAAAATAAAACTAGTCTTCAGTACTCTTGACCAAAGCAATCTATATCTTTCCTTTTTTTCATTAAAAAAATATTTACTGACCCCAACTATGTGCTAGATAGTACAGCTACAATAGTTAACAAAACAGAATCCCTGCCCTTGTGGAACTTACAGTCTAGCCTAGTGCTGTCTAAACATGTTTGCTCTTGACCTGTTTCTTTTCAAGTAATAGCAAACAGTATGAGGGAGCAAAGCACTGGCAGAGTTTTTAGTCTTTACCTGTATGACACAATGAAAAGGCCCAGGTTTCTTGTGTTTCTTGTGTTTGTTTTTTTCCCCCTATTTGGTCTTTACAAAATTGATTATTGGCTCATGGTCCTACTATCTATTACTTGCACAAGTTTCCCATACTCATTCTGACCACTGCTAAAAAGAACTTGAAAACATAGTAATAATTCAGAATCTGTAAGGATAGTTTTTAGAAGAATTCAGCAACTTTTAATGAACAACCATAAATAATCAACCAGTGTCTATCAATGTCAGATGTTTAAATAAGTAGGCAGCATTTTAACAAAATGCTTTCTAAGAAATCACATATGAACATAGAAAAGGTCACGGTCACCAAAACTATGGAAGCTATATGAAAATTCTGTCACATGAAAATCAAATCAAGACAGTCTCAAACTCTTTTATAGATAATAGAGCAGAAAGAGCTGAGAAGAGGAGCAGGAATAATACACAAAAGTGCATCTTAAAACTTCAGAGTTTTATGAAAATAAAATCTCTTCTATTTGCCTGGTGGTGGTGGTAGTTAAAATCATGGAGTACTATTAATATGTTGTGGCCATGGAACCATGTACAGAGTTGGTTAACCAGGGGTAAGGGGCTTATAAATAGCACCAACTTCTTTAGCTCTCACCAATTCTAGTGGACTTGCCAATTACCTTTGAAGCAAACACTAATAAAGGTGAAATGAATTATTAGTCAAAATACATTACCAGACCAGGCTTTTTTGAGTAATTTCCCCCACTGAATGCTGCAGAATAATTTAAAACAATCACTGTAGTATACTTCTCTGAGGCTTAGCAATTTTAAGTTGGGCATGCTAGCCAGGATAGGGACAAATATCCTTATCCTAGGATAAGGACTTCCCATTTCCAGATAATTGCTATGGTGTGGTGATTTCTTGGAAATTTCTTTCCACCTTTATGCCTGAAGCCAGAGAAGAATTTCTTAGACTACTTTAAATTTAAATTTACTTTCGGGCAACACTGCAAAGTTGCTACCGTCCAACACAGACACTATGTTCTCCTTTTTGGTTTGCATTTAAAATATGAATACGTTATTTTACATACTGTAGTTAAAATGATGTGGCAATTTGTCTTAGAAATATCTTTATGAAAGTTAACTCTGAAATGTTACCGTTTTCATTAATTTTAAGTTGAAAGTCACATACCACCTACTCCTCTTTTTTTTTTCCCTTCTCTTTTGGTTTTTTAAAAAATAAATAAAATTCCACCTAAAAATTAACACTCAAATATGAAAACCCTTAAATTTTGCTTCAATTTAAAAATAATTCAGAGTTTACTTACTGCAATTTTTCCAAGATCTATGCCATAATTGAGGGAACTCCATGAACACTGCTTGTAGTTGGGTGTCCAAGACTCCTCAAAGCTTTCCCTCAGGCATTCCCCCTTTTCTCCTTTGAATCCATCCCGACCGGGGATGCCAGGGGTACCAGGGATGCCATTGGCCCCAGGGCTCCCATCTCGACCAGGCACCCCAGCTGGCCCTTGTAAGCACATTCCATTGTACTACAGTAAGAAAGCAAAGGGGAAGAAACTCTCACTTAATATGATTAGAATTGCATTTATTTTGAGCCCTTAGAGTCAAGAATCCCTTCATACCACTCGTCCATGTTTTGGATGTGTTATTATAGAGAATTCATTTTAAAATTACTTCTAAAACATTGTGATTTCTTTCATCTTTTTTATCTCACAAACTTTACACACACACAAATCAAAGAGAAGGTCAAAATATTTTCATGTGCCTGGTCCTTTCTACTGCTCATTATTATCAACACATATGATTTTTAACAGCTGTATTCCAAGGAGGACATATATTTTGCTTTCTTCTTGTAAAGGGACTTGGATTTCATAATTATACTTTTCACAATTTATGCAAACATTCCACTAATTTGGGTGCTTAGTTTATTTCTATATTTTCTATTATTAATACTATAATGAAAATCTTTATCCTCATAGCCTTTTTCTTCTTTTTAATTATTTCCCTAAGTTAAATTCCAAGGGACATAATTATCAAATAAAATCTCAACAGTCAATAATTATCTTGTGTTTGCAATATCTCTAACTTGGATATACATGTCTCTGCTTCTTTTCCTCCCTGTTTTTAAGTGAGGGAAGTGGCCCTAGGGTACTGTACTACTTTTGGCCTTCAATCCCAACTCTCTTCCCCAAAGAAAAGGAGTAAGTGTCCTAGTTCTGGGTGACCATCAGTCCTCAATAGAGGGCAATAATCTATCAAACCTTCTGCAAGGGCTAGTATTCTCTATGTTTGTTTTGGGGGAGGGTACCTTGCAGAGTTTAAACACATGGCTTCTATAGCTAGTTTCTCTGGATTTTATTCCTGCTCCACCCCTTATTACCTCTGTGAGATGGGGCAAGTTACTCAACATTTTGGTGCCTGTTTCCTTATCTGTAAAATGGAGATAACAATAAAGATTCTAACCTTATAGGGTCTGTATGAGATTTAAGTGAATAACATGCAAAACGTGAACAATGCCTGGAACATAGCAAACACTGCATATGTCAGCCATTATTCTTATCATTCCCTCAAGACCAGTGTGAGGGAGTGACTCTGGGCAAGTGTGTCCACTCCCTTGGGGGGGTGGACCTTACAGGGTCTAGACCTGGAGAAGAGAGCATTAGCAAACCCACCGGCTACCACATATAGCCTATACACACCAATGTTGTCTGATCAGTGGTAAAGGTAATATTTTGAGCTCCATCTGTCCAACTCTTGTGTCTATTGAGTTGGTTACATTTATTAAACCTTTCAAAGGTTCCTCCAAACCCCAATACAATCCACTTAAATTTTCACTCTAATATTTCTCCTTTTGTGTAAATTGCCCAGTACTATAATTCTATATAAATATCCTTTCCGGTGAGGAAAAAAACCAAGTTTCCTTATATATTAAAATGACTTCAAAGCTTATCTTTTGACTTTACTATCTGAGATTGAACACGATCAGATTATAAAACCCAATAATAACAGTCTAGGAAGGATCCTAAGTAATTAATGTTTGTCAATCAATTTGCTTCTCACATCACCAGTTTGATCTTTGTTTTGATAAATGATTTTTTACAACTCTGACATTGCCATTTTCCTGAATGTAAGAAACAAAAAACCTACTATTTATTTACTGTCAGAGAAATAGTAAGAAAAAAATTAACAATTGCAAAAGTATTCAAAGATGTGCTAAAGTACAAGATATTTTAAAATAGTTCTGTGCATTTTAGACTTATTTTCATTTTAGTAACTTCATTTACTTTCACTAGCAGAGGTATGCAATGTTTGGACATATATTTCAAGTGAGAAGATTTATTCTGGTATTCTTCGATCCCCCCCCCCCAACTATTATTCCTCTTAGGACAAGATGATACACAGACTAAGTTTCGTTTTCCTATATATCAGTGGTTCTCAAAAGGGGACAATTTTGTCCCTTGGGGGATACTTGGCAATGTCTGTAGACATTTTTCGTATCACAACTTGGGAGGGAGGAGTGCTACTGGCATCTAGGGGTTAGCCACTGGGGACACTGCTAAACATGCTACAATGCACAGGATAGTCCCCACAACAAAGAGTTATCTGGCCCCAAATACCACTAGTGCCATGGTTGAGAATTTTTATTTACTTTTTCGTCTAAAAGCTGCATTCCAGAGACCACATAACTTGATTGTATTTGGTTCAACAGGTGTTAGATCTGCCTTCTTCCACTTTAAAATGCTAACTCAACACATGCTTTGTACCCCCAATAAATGTGTAATGAACAAAAAAGTGAATGGAAGCTCAAACTTTTCTTCAGTCGTTCCTTTCACCGGCCACCAGGGGGCAGAGCTCGGTGGAAACTTGAAAGGAACGCTTTGAAAGATCCTATACAAAGAAGTTGCTTTATAGAATCTGTTGAAACCTCCTTAATGGCTATGTGGACTTTCTCTGTCAGCAAAACCAAATCCAATGTACAGGATGCACCTGAGCCTGGCTGCACATGAAGCTTTTCCAAGTCTGGCTAGAGTCGTAGGAAACCACAGGTACTGTAAATCCTTGGAAGGTGAAAAATGGCCAGCTTTATAGGGAAAAGGGGTATTTGGTGTATCATAATTACAAATTCATAAAATGCAAACTGCACATGAACCACACTCATTTGGTACAATTTAAACAATTTAGATACTTAAAATAGAACTGTAGCCCTTAACACATAATCTGTTGTGGAGCAAAATTACACAGCATATCACTAAAAAGTGGCTCTCTGAAATGGGAGAATTTTTTTCCCCCAGCGCTTTGGAATCCAGCATAGAGCTAGCTGCCAAGGAGTTTGGTTTATTGACTAAGTTCAGAATGTCAGCTTAACAAATTTAAAACTGTTTTTAAATGAAAAATGCCCCCTGTCTTATGTTCTGCAATGCCTGTAAACTATGTTTGTCTGCAAATGAGATCGGCTTAAGAACTGAAGTTTACCACCATGTGCCAAGGACTATGGTAGCTGTAAAAGGCTCACTCTTGCCACAGGGCAGAGAACCTCTTGTCCTCCACTGGGTTTGTTGACTTTCAGAGGGGAAGAGTTTGAAGCAAACAGACCTTCCCTAGCCCCTGGGAAAGCACTTGGGCTATTTATTTACTCTCCTGGAAACTGTCTTCTCCCTTAGCTTGACTGTGATACTCCGACCTAGTGGCCACAGGCTAACGACCCAGGGTGTCTATAAGGACTGACTGGCCATTTGGTCTAAACACAACAAACGAAAACGGGTCCTTGGAAGGTTAGTGCTGGGCCCTTCATTTCCCTTTCCGGCCTTAAACCCTCTGAACCATTCCTGGCCCCAGCTGTGGTTGTCCAACAAAGTAAATTGCAGCCCATACTCCCTAGGAAGATGACCCAACGTGACTCATAGTCTTCAAGTGACAAAGAGTTGGACGGATGCTCTGTGGGGGTGGTTATTCTCTCTCGCAGGCAGACGTGGCCATCGGCCCCCACAAAGGACACGTTGCATGGCCCTGGCCCAGGCCCAGGCGATTAGGGAGTCTAAGGTCTTTCCCAGGCCCACGTTTTGACCCACCCAAGCTCCTCCCTGCCGCCCGAACCCTCTCCACCCCGCCCAAGGGGTCCCCCTGAAGTCAGAAATTGTTGGGTGACTCTTTGTACTTCGGGGAGTCCTACCCGACCCACGCCGCATCTCCGCTCCACGACGGTCTCCCCTCTGCGTCCCAAGACTCCACTGCACGCTTAACCCAGGTCCTTCTTTACACGCAAACAAAGCGTGACTGACACCCGGGCGCAGCAAGACACAGGACACACAGCTGTACAGACTTATCCCCTCCCCCACAACAGCTGGACTGATGCCCTCCCCGTGCGGCTCGCGGCTCTGTCCCCTCCGGCTCTGCCCCCTCCGCCAGCGCAGCGGACCCGGCTCGGCGCCCCGACTCACCAGGTCCACCACCTCCCTCGGCCGGAGCTGCGCCTTTTGCTATAACACCAAATATGAAACCTTCAAATTTGCTTCATTTAAATAATTCAGAGTTTACTACGCAATTTTTCCAAGATTGCATAGATTGAGGAACTCCATGAACACTGCTTGTAGTTGGGTGGCAAGACTCCTCAAAGCTTCCTCAGGCATTCCCCCTTTTCTCCTTTGAATCCATCCCCGACCGGGGATGCAGGGTACGCAGGGATGCATTGCCCCAGGCTTCCATCTCAGACAGGCACCCCAGCTGGCCCTTGGTAAGCACATTCCATTGTACTACAGTAAGAAAGCAAGGGGAAGAAACTCTCACTTAATATGATTAGAATTGCATTTATTTTGAGCCTTAGAGTCAAAATCCCTTCATACCACTGTCCATGTTTGATGTTGTTATTATAGAGAATGTCATTTAAATTACTTCTAAAACATTGTGATTTCTTTCATCTTTTATCTCACAAACTTTACACACACACAAACAAAGAAAGGTCAAAATATTTTTCATGTGCCTGCTCCTTTCTACTGTCACTATATCACACATATGATTTAACAGCTGTATTCCAAGATGACATATATTTTGCTTCTTCTTGTAAAGGGACTTGGATTTCATAAATTATACTTTTCACATTTATGCAAAATTCCCACTAATGGGTGGCTTAGTTTATTTCTATATTCTATATTAATACTATAATGAAAATTCTTTTTATCCCCTCATAGCCTTTTTCTTCTTTTAGATTATTTTCCCTAAGTTAAATTCAAGGGACATAATTATCAAGATAAAAATCTCAACAGTCAATAATTATCTTGTGCTTGCAATATCTCTACTTGGATATATAACATGTCTCTGCTTCTTTTCCTCCCTGTTTTTAATGAGGAATGCCTTAGGGTACTGTACTACTTTTTGGCCTTCATCCAACCCTCTTCCCAAAGAAAAGGAGTAAGTGTCTAGTTCTGGGTGACCATCAGTCCCTCAATAGAGGGGAATAATCTATCAAGACCTTCCTGCAAGGGCTAGTATTCTCTATGTTGTTTTGGGGAGGTACCTTGCAGAGTTTAACACATGCTTCTATAGCTTAGTTTTCTCTGGATTTTAATCCTGCTCCACCCCTTATTACCTAAATGTGAGATGGGCCAAGTTACTCAACATTTGGTGCCTGTTCCTTATCTGTAAAAATGGAGATAACAATAAAGATTAACCTTATAGGGTCTGTATGAGATTAAGTGAATACATGCAAAACTGAACATGCCTGGAACATAGCAAACACTCATATGTCAGCCATTATTTTATCCATTCTCAAGACCAGTGTGAGGAGAGTGACTCTGGCAAGTGTGTCCACTCCTTGGGGGGTGGACTTACAGGGTCTAACCTGGAGAAGAGAGCATTAGCCAACCCACGGCTACCACATATAGCTATAACACCAATGTGTCTGATCAGTGTAAAGGTAATATTTTGAGCTTCCACTAATGTCCAACTCTTGTGTCTATTGAGTTGGTTACATTATTAACCTTCAAAGGTTCTCCAAACCCCAATAACAATCCACTTAAATTTTTCACTCTAATATTTCTCCTTTGTGTAAATTGCCAGTACTATAATTCTATATAAATATCCTTTCCGGTGAGGAAAAAAACCAAGTTCTTATATATTAAAAATGACTTCAAAGCTTATCTTGTTGACTTTACATCTAGATTGAACACGATCAGATTATAAAAAGTGAGCCCAATATGTAGCCAAGGTTGAGAACACCTGCTCTGTGGTATTACTGGCTGTTCTGCCATTTTATCCACCTCATTGATTTTCAACCCTGGGGCACATAAGAGTCATCAGAGGATCTTTTAAAAAATCCAGATGCCAGGGTCTTACCCCTAGAGATTCTGAGTCAGTTGGTCAGAGATGGGGCCCAGGTATCCATATATTTTTTAAAAGATCTATAGGTAATGGTGAAGTGCAACTCAAGGAGGAGAATCACATACTGAAAGCTTGTTAAAGGTCATTTTATATTGGGCTAGTGACCCAACATGATAGTGGGACTCAAAACTAATCTTATTTAGATATGAGGCACATTCTGCAATGTCACTATTTTACATACCAGAAGAAGTGCGATGAATATTAATTGTTGAATTCAGTTCGGGGCTTCCTTGGTCCAAATAAATTATGGCTTCAATGGGAAGAGGCCCTGAACATTCAGCTCCATTGAATGTGAAATACCAACGCTGACAGCATGCATTTCTGCATTTTAGCCGAAGTGATCCACTGAACAAAACTCTTAGAGCACTGTTGGAACGCATCTTTGTAAATGTACATTCCTGCCACAAACACGAAAATAGGGTTGAATTAACATTTTCTATTTTAATTCACAAGAGGCTTTGAAATTAGCCAGGGGTCATGGCACACACCTGTAGTCCCAGCTACTCTGGAGGCTGAGGCAGGAGGATCACCTGAGCCCAGGAGTTGGAGGCTGCAGTGAGCTATGATCACACCACTGCACATTACTCAGGGAGACAGAGCCTGAGGCTTTGAGATTGTATTGTGAATTTTACTTAACCATCATTTTCCCCAAACTGTATTGATAAAGCTTAACTTTGATAGGAGAGATTTTCTGTAAAACAGATAAGAGATTTTGATATAGGAACTGTATCAAATTATGACTTTCTTAGAATTATTTGTCTAAGGGTATCTTTCAATTTTGCCAAAAAACAAAACAAAATAAAATAAAACTAGTCTTCAGTACTCTTGACCAAAGCAATCTATATCTTTCCTTTTTTTCATTAAAAAAATATTTACTGACCCCAACTATGTGCTAGATAGTACAGCTACAATAGTTAACAAAACAGAATCCCTGCCCTTGTGGAACTTACAGTCTAGCCTAGTGCTGTCTAAACATGTTTGCTCTTGACCTGTTTCTTTTCAAGTAATAGCAAACAGTATGAGGGAGCAAAGCACTGGCAGAGTTTTTAGTCTTTACCTGTATGACACAATGAAAAGGCCCAGGTTTCTTGTGTTTCTTGTGTTTGTTTTTTTCCCCCTATTTGGTCTTTACAAAATTGATTATTGGCTCATGGTCCTACTATCTATTACTTGCACAAGTTTCCCATACTCATTCTGACCACTGCTAAAAAGAACTTGAAAACATAGTAATAATTCAGAATCTGTAAGGATAGTTTTTAGAAGAATTCAGCAACTTTTAATGAACAACCATAAATAATCAACCAGTGTCTATCAATGTCAGATGTTTAAATAAGTAGGCAGCATTTTAACAAAATGCTTTCTAAGAAATCACATATGAACATAGAAAAGGTCACGGTCACCAAAACTATGGAAGCTATATGAAAATTCTGTCACATGAAAATCAAATCAAGACAGTCTCAAACTCTTTTATAGATAATAGAGCAGAAAGAGCTGAGAAGAGGAGCAGGAATAATACACAAAAGTGCATCTTAAAACTTCAGAGTTTTATGAAAATAAAATCTCTTCTATTTGCCTGGTGGTGGTGGTAGTTAAAATCATGGAGTACTATTAATATGTTGTGGCCATGGAACCATGTACAGAGTTGGTTAACCAGGGGTAAGGGGCTTATAAATAGCACCAACTTCTTTAGCTCTCACCAATTCTAGTGGACTTGCCAATTACCTTTGAAGCAAACACTAATAAAGGTGAAATGAATTATTAGTCAAAATACATTACCAGACCAGGCTTTTTTGAGTAATTTCCCCCACTGAATGCTGCAGAATAATTTAAAACAATCACTGTAGTATACTTCTCTGAGGCTTAGCAATTTTAAGTTGGGCATGCTAGCCAGGATAGGGACAAATATTCTTATCCTAGGATAAGGACTTCCCATTTCCAGATAATTGCTATGGTGTGGTGATTTCTTGGAAATTTCTTTCCACCTTTATGCCTGAAGCCAGAGAAGAATTTCTTAGACTACTTTAAATTTAAATTTACTTTCGGGCAACACTGCAAAGTTGCTACCGTCCAACACAGACACTATGTTCTCCTTTTTGGTTTGCATTTAAAATATGAATACGTTATTTTACATACTGTAGTTAAAATGATGTGGCAATTTGTCTTAGAAATATCTTTATGAAAGTTAACTCTGAAATGTTACCGTTTTCATTAATTTTAAGTTGAAAGTCACATACCACCTACTCTTTTTTTTTCCCTTCTCTTTTGGTTTTTTAAAAAATAAAATTCCACCTAAAAATTAACACTCAAATATGAAAACCCTTAAATTTTGCTTCAATTTAAAAATAATTCAGAGTTTACTTACTGCAATTTTTCCAAGATCTATGCCATAATTGAGGGAACTCCATGAACACTGCTTGTAGTTGGGTGTCCAAGACTCCTCAAAGCTTTCCCTCAGGCATTCCCCCTTTTCTCCTTTGAATCCATCCCGACCGGGGATGCCAGGGGTACCAGGGATGCCATTGGCCCCAGGGCTCCCATCTCGACCAGGCACCCCAGCTGGCCCTTGTAAGCACATTCCATTGTACTACAGTAAGAAAGCAAAGGGGAAGAAACTCTCACTTAATATGATTAGAATTGCATTTATTTTGAGCCCTTAGAGTCAAGAATCCCTTCATACCACTCGTCCATGTTTTGGATGTGTTATTATAGAGAATTCATTTTAAAATTACTTCTAAAACATTGTGATTTCTTTCATCTTTTTTATCTCACAAACTTTACACACACACACACACACACACAAATCAAAGAGAAGGTCAAAATATTTTCATGTGCCTGGTCCTTTCTACTGCTCATTATTATCAACACATATGATTTTTAACAGCTGTATTCCAAGGAGGACATATATTTTGCTTTCTTCTTGTAAAGGGACTTGGATTTCATAATTATACTTTTCACAATTTATGCAAACATTCCACTAATTTGGGTGCTTAGTTTATTTCTATATTTTCTATTATTAATACTATAATGAAAATCTTTATCCTCATAGCCTTTTTCTTCTTTTTAATTATTTCCCTAAGTTAAATTCCAAGGGACATAATTATCAAATAAAATCTCAACAGTCAATAATTATCTTGTGTTTGCAATATCTCTAACTTGGATATACATGTCTCTGCTTCTTTTCCTCCCTGTTTTTAAGTGAGGGAAGTGGCCCTAGGGTACTGTACTACTTTTGGCCTTCAATCCCAACTCTCTTCCCCAAAGAAAAGGAGTAAGTGTCCTAGTTCTGGGTGACCATCAGTCCTCAATAGAGGGCAATAATCTATCAAACCTTCTGCAAGGGCTAGTATTCTCTATGTTTGTTTTGGGGGAGGGTACCTTGCAGAGTTTAAACACATGGCTTCTATAGCTAGTTTCTCTGGATTTTATTCCTGCTCCACCCCTTATTACCTCTGTGAGATGGGGCAAGTTACTCAACATTTTGGTGCCTGTTTCCTTATCTGTAAAATGGAGATAACAATAAAGATTCTAACCTTATAGGGTCTGTATGAGATTTAAGTGAATAACATGCAAAACGTGAACAATTCCTGGAACATAGCAAACACTGCATATGTCAGCCATTATTCTTATCATTCCCTCAAGACCAGTGTGAGGGAGTGACTCTGGGCAAGTGTGTCCACTCCCTTGGGGGGGTGGACCTTACAGGGTCTAGACCTGGAGAAGAGAGCATTAGCAAACCCACCGGCTACCACATATAGCCTATACACACCAATGTTGTCTGATCAGTGGTAAAGGTAATATTTTGAGCTCCATCTGTCCAACTCTTGTGTCTATTGAGTTGGTTACATTTATTAAACCTTTCAAAGGTTCCTCCAAACCCCAATACAATCCACTTAAATTTTCACTCTAATATTTCTCCTTTTGTGTAAATTGCCCAGTACTATAATTCTATATAAATATCCTTTCCGGTGAGGAAAAAAACCAAGTTTCCTTATATATTAAAATGACTTCAAAGCTTATCTTTTGACTTTACTATCTGAGATTGAACACGATCAGATTATAAAACCCAATAATAACAGTCTAGGAAGGATCCTAAGTAATTAATGTTTGTCAATCAATTTGCTTCTCACATCACCAGTTTGATCTTTGTTTTGATAAATGATTTTTTACAACTCTGACATTGCCATTTTCCTGAATGTAAGAAACAAAAAACCTACTATTTTATTTACTGTCAGAGAAATAGTAAGAAAAAAATTAACAATTGCAAAAGTATTCAAAGATGTGCTAAAGTACAAGATATTTTAAAATAGTTCTGTGCATTTTAGACTTATTTTCATTTTAGTAACTTCATTTACTTTCACTAGCAGAGGTATGCAATGTTTGGACATATATTTCAAGTGAGAAGATTTATTCTGGTATTCTTTGATCCCCCCCCCCCAGCTATTATTCCTCTTAGGACAAGATGATACACAGACTAAGTTTCATTTTCCTATATATCAGTGGTTCTCAAAAGGGGACAATTTTGTCCCTTGGGGGATACTTGGCAATGTCTGTAGACATTTTTCGTATCACAACTTGGGAGGGAGGAGTGCTACTGGCATCTAGGGGTTAGCCACTGGGGACACTGCTAAACATGCTACAATGCACAGGATAGTCCCCACAACAAAGAGTTATCTGGCCCCAAATACCACTAGTGCCATGGTTGAGAATTTTTATTTACTTTTTCGTCTAAAAGCTGCATTCCAGAGACCACATAACTTGATTGTATTTGGTTCAACAGGTGTTAGATCTGCCTTCTTCCACTTTAAAATGCTAACTCAACACATGCTTTGTACCCCCAATAAATGTGTAATGAACAAAAAAGTGAATGGAAGCTCAAACTTTTCTTCAGTCGTTCCTTTCACCGGCCACCAGGGGGCAGAGCTCGGTGGAAACTTGAAAGGAACGCTTTGAAAGATCCTATACAAAGAAGTTGCTTTATAGAATCTGTTGAAACCTCCTTAATGGCTATGTGGACTTTCTCTGTCAGCAAAACCAAATCCAATGTACAGGATGCACCTGAGCCTGGCTGCACATGAAGCTTTTCCAAGTCTGGCTAGAGTCGTAGGAAACCACAGGTACTGTAAATCCTTGGAAGGTGAAAAATGGCCAGCTTTATAGGGAAAAGGGGTATTTGGTGTATCATAATTACAAATTCATAAAATGCAAACTGCACATGAACCACACTCATTTGGTACAATTTAAACAATTTAGATACTTAAAATAGAACTGTAGCCCTTAACACATAATCTACTGTTGTGGAGCAAAATTACACAGCATATCACTAAAAAGTGGCTCTCTGAAATGGGAGAATTTTTTTCCCCCAGCGCTTTGGAATCCAGCATAGAGCTAGCTGCCAAGGAGTTTGGTTTATTGACTAAGTTCAGAATGTCAGCTTAACAAATTTAAAACTGTTTTTAAATGAAAAATGCCCCCTGTCTTATGTTCTGCAATGCCTGTAAACTATGTTTGTCTGCAAATGAGATCGGCTTAAGAACTGAAGTTTACCACCATGTGCCAAGGACTATGGTAGCTGTAAAAGGCTCACTCTTGCCACAGGGCAGAGAACCTCTTGTCCTCCACTGGGTTTGTTGACTTTCAGAGGGGAAGAGTTTGAAGCAAACAGACCTTCCCTAGCCCCTGGGAAAGCATTTGGGCTATTTATTTACTCTCCTGGAAACTGTCTTCTCCCTTAGCTTGACTGTGATACTCCGACCTAGTGGCCACGGGCTAACGACCCAGGGTGTCTATAAGGACTGACTGGCCATTTGGTCTAAACACAACAAACGAAAACGGGTCCTTGGAAGGTTAGTGCTGGGCCCTTCATTTCCCTTTCCGGCCTTAAACCCTCTGAACCATTCCTGGCCCCAGCTGTGGTTGTCCAACAAAGTAAATTGCAGCCCATACTCCCTAGGAAGATGACCCAACGTGACTCATAGTCTTCAAGTGACAAAGAGTTGGACGGATGCTCTGTGGGGGTGGTTATTCTCTCTCGCAGGCAGACGTGGCCATCGGCCCCCACAAAGGACACGTTGCATGGCCCTGGCCCAGGCCCAGGCGATTAGGGAGTCTAAGGTCTTTCCCAGGCCCACGTTTTGACCCACCCAAGCTCCTCCCTGCCGCCCGAACCCTCTCCACCCCGCCCAAGGGGTCCCCCTGAAGCCAGAAATTGTTGGGTGACTCTTTGTACTTCGGGGAGTCCTACCCGACCCACGCCACATCTCCGCTCCACGACAGTCTCCCCTCTGCGTCCCAAGACTCCACTGCACGCTTAACCCAGGTCCTTCTTTACACGTAAACAAAGCGTGACTGACACCCGGGCACAGCAAGACACAGGACACACAGCTGTACAGACTTATCCCCTCCCCCACAACAGCTGGACTGATGCCCTCCCCGTGCGGCTCGCGGCTCTGTCCCCTCCGGCTCTGCCCCCTCCGCCAGCGCAGCGGACCCGGCTCGGCGCCCCGACTCACCAGGTCCACCACCTCCCTCGGCCGGAGCTGCGCCTTTTGCTTCCCCTTGGGGATCTCGGAGGCGCTCGACGGCGCCGGCAGCTGCAGCAGCAGAAGCAGCAGGAGGCCGAGGAGCCACAGCAGGGAGACTGTGGGGCCCTGGGGGCGCATGGCGGGGTTGGCTGGGGACGCGGAGCAGGAGGCGGAGGAGGAGACGGAGCCGGGACGTGGTCAGCGTCTGGCCCCGCCGCGCTCCTAGGCCGCCGTGGGCTGCATCAATGCGCCTTTCAGCCGCGCCTCCCTCCCTCCCCCTTCCCCTCCCGCCCCCCTGGACACCCAGAGCTTTCATCCCTTAATAGGCCGGAGCCCCCACCCCGAGCCGGCGGGCGGGCCGACAGCCGGGCCCGCCCCTACCGCGGCCGCAGCACCGCCGGGCCCCTGGAGGGTCTGGCAGAGCCCGCGGAGAGCCGGCCGCAGAGTGGGGGTGGGGTGGCAGCGGTCGCCAGCCGCAGGTGGAGGCTTCGCGGATGGAAGTGGAGCGAGCACAGCTTAAATGAACAGGGTAGAGGCACGTGTCTTAACTTGGGTCCAGGAACCGCCTTCGAGGGTCGTCAATTCATGGCATGGGTCGCCGAGCCTTTTGAGGGGAGGTAACATTTTCGAGGACTAGGAGGGGAACCACAGGTGTCATCAGGTTCTCCAAGAGTCCCATGACCCAAATGATTAATAAATGCTATTTTAATAAGTGCTAACACTTACTAAGCTCTGGGACCACGCAAAGCCTTGCGCACGTAGTCCTCTTGGCAGTCCTTTTGGGTTAGATACCTCCTGTGCTTGCCCCATTCGCGGATGAGGAAACTGAGGCTCAAGGAAGCTAGCCAATGTGCAGTGGTAGTGGTAGAAGTTCATTATTGAGTACTCGTCACCTCTGATTGTTATTATCTTTTTCTGACCCACTCTGTTCTCCTTTTGTTTGTACTCTTTTGCCCATTCTGGAAGAAAGCATCCTTAGGGACCAGGCTGCCCACCGGGTAGGGCCAGATTGGAGCAGGAGCTGCTTTATACACCACTGGCTGGAATCGGGCAGAACAGTAGTCTTGCCACGCTCCAACAACACGGGGTTGTGACGGATGGCCGTGCTGCTGACGTCAAATCCCACTGGGCAAAGTTCTCTCTAGAGACCCAGCCAGGTTCCCCAGGGGAGCAGGTCAGGGCAGTTCCAGGAATGCTCGCTCCTGGGCTAGTGCCTAACTACAAGTCAATTTCATTCCCGTTTTTCAGAAGCAACAAAAATCCAAATGAGCTGTAATGCCAGGACTGGCTCCATAATATGCCACGCCTAGTGCAAAATGAAAATGCAGGGCCTTTTGTTAAAAAGAAAATCAAGAATTGCAAAATGGTGTCAACAGAGCAATAAACCACATGTGGGGTCCTTCTGAGTGCTCCGCACGGAAGACTGCACAGGTCACACCCAGCGTCACTGGCCCTGTATAAAGCTGACTGAAGTCCCAGCTGACGCCTGTTGGCAGTCAAACCACCGTGGTGGCAGCAGTCTACGGGCTGGAAAGGAGAGCAGAGGATCACCAGAGTCTATCTTCTATCCAATTCCAATTCCTGCTGCTGTTCTGTCACCCAATGACTTCACATGGTCCCTCTCTGTGTAAATCTGTGGTCCAGACTGAGGTTTCAGCAAGGAGCTAATCCTGCGTTAACAACCAGGCATTTTAAAGCTATATGTTCACAGAATTAATCAAATCACACCATAAGATAAGCCAGGTATCATACTTATATTTAAAGATAATAAATAATAGTGTATAAGGTCTTTACAGTGTTAAGGAGGACTTTCAGTTATCCTATCTCGCAGGTCCTAAAATTAGCACAAAAGTACTACCACTATGAGTTTGATTGACGTCATCTCTGGAATCTACTTAGTCCAGCTGAGTTTTCTTGGTCTAAAACTTAGGCCCATTCTACCATTATAGATTTTAGTTCCATTTAAAGATTATGAATTAGTTTAGGGTCCTGAGAGCTATTTTTGGAGTGATCCTTCCCCAGCCACAGATTAACAAACTGAGCCTTTTGCAGATTCCAATTTTGAAGCCAATATTAGGAATTAGTCTTGTAACAATTATGATGATGTGTTTTAGTTAATTAGATATTAACATTTGAATGTTATTGAAACATTTAAGAAAATTTAACACATTAGATTTCTGATATTAATTTTAAATTAATAAATTTTAATCAAGTTTATAATGGTTTTAAATGTTTAATAAAACATTTATAAGCTTCATTTATTAGATTTAAGAGGAATTCTGGGGTGCTTTAAGAGATTCTTCTTATTAGGTTTTTAAGTTTGCCCTGATAGGTATTTGGCATTTGAAGGAAATCAGATATATTAAATTTGTAAATGTAGTTTGAAGTATGTAAAATAATTTAACTCAGTTTTTTAATGGAGCTAAATTTTAGGTAAATTAAATATCTTAAATTTATGAGTCTTCCATGTCAAGCTTAAAAACTTAAGAAAAACTTGATTTTTAAATTTAATACTTAAGTATTTAATAATTAATATAGAAGTAGCTGCAAATAGTATTTTCCATACACATACAACATGCATTCTCAAACAACTCTACTGAAAGAAATTAGGAAGGGAAGTGAATGTGTTAATATTGTTGGTCCCACTTAGTTTATGTGATGCAAGTTCTAATATAACACCATTGATCTTTTCAGCAGAGTGGAACCATAGACTTTTTTTTTTAATTTTAGCATATTATGGGGGTACAAGTGTTAAGGTTACATATATTGCCCATGTCCCCCTCCCCCCTCGAGTAAGAGCTTCAAGCATATCCATCCCCCAAACATTGCACATCTTACTTGTTGTGGAACCATAGACTTTTAAAGTTGGCAAGAATTTTAGAAATCATCTAAATCAATCCAGGTGTTGTATGATTGAGGCACATAATTAAAACCAACTCAGAGAGCTCAAGGTACTTTCCAAAGGCCATGTAGCAAGTAGGTGTCAAAGCAGAGTTGTACTGAGGTTGGAGAATTCTTAGTCTATGTATAGTTTTTAATAATATTCCTCTTGAGTATTCTAGCCTTCCACAGCCTAGCTACTGTAAATTGAGGAAAGAACTATCTATGCTTCAGCCAGAGGTTTAAAGGCAGAGAAGTGCTGTTAGGAGTAGGTGTCCTAAGGGCAAAAAGGGATGATAGTGAGAGGACCCCAATGGTAAAAAAGCCAGAGTCAGGAATCTTGACCAGCAAGCTGCACTTTGAAGGTTGCTTGTTTGTAATTAACCAAGGAAACTGTTCCCTTAAGTAACTCCATGTAGTTTTGATGGAGAGTGCTTAAGACATATTAGCTATTACTATTTTGATTAGATAATTAGGGATTCCATATACAATGAAAGGAAGTCATGATTCAACAGATGGCCCCTAACCTATACATCAGTTGTATCATGCAGGGTCCAAGTGGGAAACAGAAACAACTCTGAGTATTTAAATTAGAGGTAATTTAATATAATAATATAATAAATAATGTAATTTAATAAATTACCTTACCCACCTAGGCTGTAAGCTAAACAGAGGAAAGTTAGACTTCCGCTGTAAACTGCTATCACCCTTATGCTGAAGAGACTTAAGGTGTCTAATCAAAGCTGGAACCATGTTGGGCTTGTCCATTGGAAGCTGGAGTCATGAAAGAAATGAAGCCACTGCCAGAAGAACTGCCTGCAGCAGAGAAGGAAGATGAGCAGTACCCTGGCTTCTCTCTTATTCCCACCCTCTTATCTCTGATTGGCCAAACCCAACTGGAGGCCCCTGAAACAGGATCCTGGGAAACAGCCTGCAGAGGTCAGAGCAGGGCTGGGGAAGCATAAAGAATGAATCTGAGGGCAAACAGCATCAATCAGCCCTGAATTCCTCCCCGCACCACTCCGGCTCGTGCTCACATGCACACACATGGCCCTAAGCTCCAACAGTGTGGTGGCTGCATCCACATTCCTTAGTATCTAGGTCACCAGGCTGTTTAGATTGGAATTAAGTGGTTAATCTACCCACACTCTGTACTGATAGACCTTAAGTATATAACACCTTTACTGGCTCATAAGTGATTGGAATTTTTATAATCTTAAGAGAATACAAGTGGATAGAAAATTATAGAACTTAAATTATTGGTGAAAGATGATCATAAGTCCCCGGCCTGTAATTGTGGTGTTCTACATGCATCCTTTTTTATTTCTGTGTATTTATACAACTGGAAGCTGTCAACCGTTGCAGTGCTTGAGGGCAAGCACTGGTCTGTTAGACTTGAGAGAATTCCATTTCATTTATTCTGAATCATAACATGCTACATGCTTTCAACTTGGGTAGTCTTTCATTTCCAGACAAATTTTCTTCCTTTTTATTAAGTTACCCAAAGCTGTGCACTTTCTCCCCCTCCTCATTATGCCTTGTGGATGGAGGTATTAAAATCAACATGCTCTCAACAGACTCTGCATTGTAAGAATTCCTCAGAAAATTGTTCACCGTGGAGCTCTGTGTTTGAAAATGGTCAAGATTAAAGACATTTCTGGGCAGTTCAGATGACTCTTTGCAGCCTGTGTGTCTCTTTCAAGGTACAAAGAACCGACTGTTTTGTGATAAAAGGAAGCCAAGGTAAGCAGGATTTTTGGAATTGCATCTCAAAACATTTAGGTTTACAAAATACATCCAGTTCTGTAGTCTCCCTCCACAAATCTCCCACCCTATCAACTGAACCCTGGTTTCTTATAATTCTTCCCCCAGGTCCCCAGTTAAAGATATGATTGCTTTGTTGATAAAAAGTCAGGCCATTATAATGGAAATTGAAACAAGCCAATAATATTAATCTCCCTCACCTTGAAGAGTTTTTAGCAAATGACAAAAGAAGCTGAATGCAGTTTCACCTCTCCCTAAACTGTCACATAGAGAATGACAAAAAGTGGGCTGTGAGCAGTGGCACACGCCTGTAATTCCAGCACTTTGGGAGGCCAAGATGGGAGTAATCCTTTGAGCCCAGAAGTTTGAGACCAGCCTCAGCAAGAGCGAGACCCCATCTCTACAAAAAATAGAAAAATTACCCAAGTGTGGTGGCGTGCATCTGTAGTCCCAGCTACTCAGGAGGCTGAGGCAGGAGGATTGCTTGAGTCCAGGAGTTTGAGGTTACAGTGAGCTCTGATGACATCACTGCACTCTAGCTGGGGTGACAGAGCAAGACTCTGCCTCAAAAAAAAAAAAAAAAAAAAAAAAACGGAAAAGAATATGCTGAAAAGTGACAAAACGGGAATTGACTGGTGA